GCAGCAGACCACCCAGCGCCAGCAGCAGCAGCAGCAGCAGACGACCCGGCGCCAGCAGAGCACCCAGCGCAGCAGCGCCCATCCCTGACGACCAGACTCTTGTTCACCCCCTAGCTAGCTTTCGTTCACCCCCTCTGGCCTCAAGTCTGCCATGTGGACTTTCAGGCACCTAAAGAATCCTAAAGAGATACATGGAGATACGTTTGCTGTTTAACACTGGGCAGTGGAACCTTCTGAGTGTGTGGAAGGTGGTGAGATTGAGAGAGGCTTGAAGTGGCCTGAATATGCCACGCCTGCATCAAATCAAGAATCAATGCAGGGAAGCTGTGCCAACATCCTGTTTTGGCCGGCATCTTTTATTCGTGGGCTGCCTTGTGATGCGTACAAGCGTGCACAGATCCTGGCTACCAAAGTGCTTCCTCAGATTGCTTTTGCTCCTCAGTTGAACTTCATCCCCAAAAGACTTCTGGCCAAGTTGCAAAGTGCTGTAGCCGATGCTCTATGGCAAGACCGGCCCAAGTGGCGATCGAAGCACCTTCTGCTTTGTATTGTGCACAAGGCACATCGCCTTGATCCTTTTCTGTGCAGGGCTCTCACTACGATTCTGGAATCTGCCCGTTTTCTTCAGAATTCGCAATATGCCAGACAACAATGGCAGCAGCTCTATGCCCAGGATCAGCTCACTGCACAGGCTTGGATGACACAATTTGGCCAAGCATGTCACATTTTGGATATCGATTGGGTGCACACTTTTGAGTTCTCCATGTTCGATTCGGAGCCTGTAAACTTTCTGGATTTTTCGATCCCGGACTTAAAGTGCATTCTTAAGGGACTGGCAGCGAATAAGTGCTACCATACAGCCTGTCTCATGCCACGTAAGGATGTTAGCAAGGCCACGGGTTTTCTTGACCTTCCCATGACTTTGTCGGCCAAAAAGAAGCTCACCAAGGTGCCAAATGAGGGCTACAGCTTTCTCTTTCACTGGGACAGTGCTATTACAGGCTGTACATTGACAGCTGATCGCCTTGCAGCAGCTGGCCTTGCTGATACAGCCGACTGCAGGTTTTGTCACGATTCCAAGGAGTCACTCCCGCACTTTGTCAATGAATGTGGGGCACTTCCTGCTGAGCTTCGGCAACCTGCCACCAAATTCTTCTTTGGGCCAAACTTCCCGGCTTTGGGAATTGCGGAAATTCCAATCGAGGAAATCCGGCGCAAGTTGGTTGTCTCTAAGCCCTCAGATTTGCGCGTTCAGCAATGGTCGTTGGACATTGGGCCTGTGGAGCATGTCTGGACGGATGGATCTGTTCAGCTTACGCAGTATCCTTGGTTGGCTTTGGCCTCCTTTGCAGCAATTCGTTGTGATGAATCTGTATTGGCCGTGGGCCGGGTCCACCATTGGAGGCTGTCAAGCTATAGCGCTGAGCTTTGGGCTGTGCTTTGTGCCTTTTCGTTTGCATCGCAACCTCTGGTGATCCATACTGATTCACTGACAATTGTGCAACAGTTCTCTATGTTGCTACATGATGACAAAGTGTCAGTTGAGTGGACACACGCCAACTGGTGGGGACACTTGTTGACTTTGCTGCAACAGCGCAGGGCTTTCCATGATTCTCCTTTGCAACTTCTGTGGTGTCCTGCTCATTTATTGGAGCATATCCCAAGCTCGCAAATTACCGAAGAAGAAGCTCAACGGGCTGGATCGACTATGCGTGATATTGTACTCAACAGGCTTGCCGACTATCATGCAAAACAGCACATTTCTGACACTGCCCGTGCCATCAAGGCTGAGCTTGCCAGTAAGGAAGCAGATGTTTTTGCCAGGCAACTTTGGTTGGCTAAGTGTAATAAATGGTGTAAGAAGCCAGCTGTCACTGCTCCGGCTGTGGCCCGTAACACTGATGCACCTGTTGTTCCTTATTCTGCTCGACAGATGTTTCCTCGTTGGCCGTGGGATGTGTCTTCCTCCTTATACGTGTGGCAGGCGCAGCACCCAGGCAATGTGCCTTTTCGGGAGAATAACAAGCTCACCGAGGTGAATTTCCGAACCTTTTTGCAATTTTGTGCCTCTGTGAAATGGAGAGTGGGGGAAAATTTTGCATGTTCAGTGTTCGAGTTAGCCGTTCTGGCGTTCACCAATGGTTGGCGGTTTCAACTGTCTTCTGGGACTCTGAGTACACCTCAAGCATATGCCAGTATCATCCGAGCTGGTTTTGCAGTCTGCAAGCACAAGCAGGTCACTGTCGCTCCACTTTTGCTCGAAAAAGGCAATAAGAGCAATGGTAAGACCTTTCCTAAAGGGGCCTTTGTTGGAGCTGAAGCTTGGTTGCCAACTCCCGCTCTTGAAATGCTGGCCAGGGCATTTGCAAAGGGCGCTAGCCTTACTCCCCACTCGTGGAGTATTTCGTTCGACGCTTTGTTGTAGGTCTCTTGTTGGTACAGATGTGACCATCAATGCGGAATGCGTGATGGTTGCCGGAGACTTCTCGTTGCGGCTGGAAAGCAAAAAAGAGGCTCCGAATGCCGGGTGCTTTTTGGAGATGCGCCCTAATGCATCACGCACATTACATCCACACAGTCAATCATATTCAAGGATTTTGCTGTACGACAATAGTTGGCTGTGGGTCAACAGCTGTTGATTGCCCTCTCACCATCATAAAGTCTTGCAGTCTTGCAGTACATAGCTCCTCATATCTAGATTCAACCTTCGCTGATGACCAATTTGTTGAAACCCAATTTCACCAAGGAGCGAGATCTTGTGCAATCTTCCGTTGTCCTCCACGGACAGCTGGACCTCAATCCTGCTGACGGGCAATCTGGCCATGATCGATCCACAAGCAGCCTTCGACCCTTGGCGGAAAGGGATGACCGATGAATGATGAAGCTCACGGTATTGCCACCCTCGGTGGCCCCGGTCAGCGAGACCAATGTCTTTGGCTCCACCCGACGGGGTTCCCTCTCAGATGTGACTCGATTCATTCGATGTTCGGCAAGACCATGCTGTGAAGGTTTTCAGAGGATGACGCAGTCCGTCCATTGGGGAGGATGTTTGGGCTCCTGCCCTGCAAGGGCTTACCACGACCAATTCCATTCGGCAGAACACCTTTACTGTAATCCTTATATAAGAACCACTGCATTGGGCTGCGATGGAGGGCATCCTGCCCACCCCATTTGCTCCCTTGCACTGTAAATTGTGAGAGATTGGCAAGGTACGCACCCCACTCAGGGCGTTCCAGATTTCTTCAGTGCATCTTATGTAATCACCGGATGAAAAGCCCTTCCTAGAAGGTCGGTGGTAGGATTGGACACCAAAATAAAGAGTCCGTGGAACTGTTATTTGGTGTCCGGGTGAAGCTGCCAAAGGCACAGCAGGATGAGGGATCGGTGTTGCAGGAAAAAGTTGAACCAATCGGGGGGCGGTACCTGAACCCGTGTTCACATAAAAGCACGGGTGTGTACATGATATATAACACTGTAGGAACAAGTAGCTACTAGGAGCAAAGGACATCGCTACTAGGAGCAAGGACGCTACTAGTAGCTAATGGCCTTACTACTAGGAACAAGAAGCTACTATTACAATATATTGATAGTTGTATTGATTTGGTACTACCAAGGCCCATTTGTTGTTGCTATCCTTCTACGACTTCATGGACGATCGGCCTGGCGCCAGGACCGGCTCGAGGAGATGCACCCGCAAAGCATGGACGATGGGCTGACCAAAGCCTATGCGCTCTACTGGACCAGCGCCACTTGGGACGAATTGAAGAATTGCATCGTCAAGTAGTCCAGGTTTGATGTTTGGTGTGCCAAGGAAAACACCAGATGAGTCTTTTGGGTTGCAAAACATTGTACTGTATAAGTTAGAATATCGAATGGTTTCCAAATGGTGGGACTTGCGGCTGTAGATTCGGGCGCTGTTGAGTGTTCTTTTGCCAGTGTTGCCAGCTGCAGTCAAGCTTTACCGGCCTCGAGCCGGTTAGTCCCCAAAGCTTATGTGGCCCACGCAGGAATTTGGTGTCGTGGTCCCACTGGCATCACTTCTCAACAGTGAAGCACATAAAAGCTGCAAGCATATGCAAGCAGTGTTTTTTGGGGATGGACATATGGACCATGAAACTACTTGGGTTTGGATGCCAGATGCAGCTGGTCATTCCATTTGTCCCAAGAATTGTTTCCCTCGAATCACCTCCCACCGTCCTTGCATCAGACCGGGAAGGGACGCAATGAAGACGCAATCCGGCCGGAAGGGCCATTCGTCCAGGCTCAGCCAGCAAAAGAAGGCAACTGGAGCTGTAGCCATCCATTCTTCCATGGGCCACGTGTGTGTGCCGCAGGCAGGACAAGGGAAGATTCGCAGAAAACGAGCAACTCGATGCTGTATGATACTGTATGCGTTTTTACACAGCATGATGTGCTGTTGTGTGCGTATGCGTGCTTATGACATTGTAGACATATTCAGAAAGTCTATGCGAAGGGACGTTCAAGAGACTTAGGCTTAGACTTAGACAAAGACGTCTTGTTCAAAGCAGGGGTGCTCTAATTTCGAGTGCGCGCAATACAAGCGCGAAATAGGCTTGTCATCCTAGTCAATCACTCCAGGTCTCAATGAAAATATGCTATCCTTTTTGGTCCTTTTTTTGCTTGTCAATCTTGTCACTTGTATAGTCAGGGGTGATGTCGTGACACGAGTCGTGCTTAGGCGAATATCGAGGTGAAGCCCAATGTCACAAATGCCCGGCGGGCACGTGGAACAATCGGACGAACCAAACAAGCCACACTGCTGCCAGGCGTAAGCCCTATGTAAAGAGGGGAAGACGGCTGCCAGGAATTAGGCGTTTACACTTCCCTCCAGGAGTTGCATTCTTGTCATCCTTTCAATGAAAACTCCTAAAGAACATGTGGTGCGGTTATATAGGTGGTTTCATCATTGAATCTCATTGAATGTGTGCAAAACGGCCTCAACCACGGTGCTCCCAAGAAGTTTCAGGATTGAAGACACTGATCATTGTATTCGTTGTGTTCCATTATTTGTGGGTGGCTGCGGTGGTTGCGACTGTTTCCACCCATATAGGGAAAGGTCAATTCATGAGGAAGAGTGGAAGACCAGCCCATGAAATCGCCACTGGCTCAAAAGCAACCCTAAGTGAGTTGCAAAGCAGGGCTCCTGCGCAGAGGACATGAGGCAACCTTCGATCAAGAAAGACGAATGCATACCAGAGGTCTCTTAATAAACTATAGATACTATAGGAACTAGAACCCAATAAAGCCACTCAGCCTTCTGTGATGGCTCGGGAAGGGCCCTATTCGCTTCTACTGACTAAATTCGACCAATCAGAACTTTCAGAGTTCAGACATGGACATCCCTCGCGGCCCCACGCACGTATCGGCCCTTTGCACAGCTCATCAAGACACACAATAGCCAGCTAAGTCTCCTTTTGGGGAGGGCTCGGGACCGGGCGCGAGCAGAGCCCTTTTGCTGGAGCCGTTTTCCGGTGGTTTCACACCATGGCTGCTGCAGTGGAGTGTGCCTTGCCCTCCATGTCTTTGAAAGATTGGGAAGCAGGCCTGTGGAGGATCCCTTCTTCAAGCGTATGAAAGTTCGCTCCAAAGATCACCCTCGGTTTGGAACCAAGATGAGGAACTGCAAAGCCATAGGTCACAGGGAGTTATACACTTTGCTTGCACAAGTTAGTTGCTACAGCCAGTTGCTATGCTGTGTGAGTTATGTTGACTAAATAGTAGTTGAAACGGGAGGCAGAAGCTTCCTGCATGTCGTTAGATCGCAAGTGGCCAAGGCGATGCAGAGACCATGGAGGCATTTGAGGAGCTCAAGCTAGAAATTGACCCTTGGCAGATGATATATAGCTGATATGGCCCTCAAATTGGAATGTTGGGGAGGCAGGAGTCCGGCTACTTGACTCCCCACAACATTCCATAACACCTCTATCTCCAAGAAAAAGACGATAAAGACGTCTTCCTTTAGAATCGTTGTGAAGGGCGGAAACGCGGCAATGGCCATATGGAGGTTCTTCAAGCGAGGAAATGGCTTCCCCATGGCAAATGCCATCCCAAGGCTATTGAACCGACGTCCCACTCTCGTCCACACATGAGAGTGGACCCCTGCCCCGGTGGTTTCGTCGGAGCAGCACGGAACCCGTGAAACCCCCCAAAGTCGGGCGGTGCTCAAGCGCCCAAAAAAGGGTGGCGGTTGGTCATTTGCCCGGGCCATGTGTGCACATGGGCGTTTGAAGTCAGTAAGAATGAATAATAAAGATGGTGCCAATCAATCTTTGACACGCCGCAGCTTCTAACGGTATTTTCTTGAGTTACTTGGTGTTAGACAAATTGACACTTTATGTACAGCTTGCTCGGTCTACTTGAGCGTTGTCCTTTATTGGTATGTAAGGCTGTAAGGCTTTATATGAAAGCGGAACTGCCTAGTTATTGGCCCGCAAAGAAAGTTCCCAGTTTTTTGTGCTTACACTGACTTTCGGCATGGGAAGCCAGATCGCGTAGGCCCCACCACGATTCTTCGCTGCCAGGCATGCATAGGCAGATCTGTAAAACAAACGTTTTGTGTTTGACATGTGTGCCAAAGCTTGTTCCCAAAAAGTGTGTGGAAGCGTTTCGACTGAACCACACTATACGTAGTAACGAACTAGTTCGAGGCGTCTACCGTACCGCAGCTCCCAAGGTCGGTAGCCGCCCCGTCGCCCAAAGAAGATGTGGGTGAAACGGCTAAGACTGACACTCCATTTCGTATGATTTATTTCATTTGATCTTTCTTTCAAAGGCATCAATGTAGGCACGTCCTCCGGTCCCATGGAGTGTTTGCCTTGCTTTTTTCGGAGACCTTTGCTTGGAAAAGCCGGAAGCCGGAGTTACTCCTCTTAGAACATCCACGATGATGTAGGATGTCGTTTCGGATGTGGAGGATGAGACTAGGCTTGCTGCGAACTGAGTTCGGGAAACCAAGGAAGAGTATGCTTGTTCCACGTAGATTCATCCAGATCCAGAATGAAACACTATCCGCAGGAAAGCGAGGAAAGATTCCATCTTCATCAACTTTCAATCACACATCCACTCTGAGAACTGGCTCAGGAGAGCTACTTCGATGCCGTGCAGCTTAAGATGCAGCGGCTGCATATGACCATGATGCTTGGATAGACATGCAAATAGATGGCTGCATTATGCTACATTGATGATCATGTACATATAATAAACAATCATATACACATATAACATACATAATATACATATTTTTGCTTCTGGACGGGTGCTCATGATGTGCCGCTAAGCGCAATGGTAACTTGGGTATATAACCATCCGCTCGTTTCGGTTTGGGCTGGCGCCGTGGAAGATGCCTGCCTACACAGCGTCCCAAAACCCTCCAGAAAGGAACCCCCTCATGAGGTTCATGTGGGTACTGGCCTGGGAAGGTGGCCCCGGGCGCGAAAGCCTTGAGGATTTGTTTTCATATCTGCATTTGATGTTATATCCAGCACCCTTTTCTATCTCTATGGGTCCAGGCTGGGTGCTGAATAGAGCGACTGGCGAATCCATCCTGGCACCACAGCATGAGAAGTGGACAGGGTGCTGAATATATGTATATATATATATACATTATATAAACAGGCGGTGTATTGTGTGGACAGCGCGCACTCTTCTCTACATGGTTTCCACCAAGGATGGGGCATCGATCCAGAGAGGCGCAAGCGGCTTATCGATCCAGGGAGGGGGGAGCAGCAAGAGGTGCTGCAGATGAAGCAGGCCAAAAAGACAAAGAATGTGCCACAATGTTCCTATAGACCGCGCCCGCGACGAGTCCTCTTTTCCTCTACCGATGGACTATTGCCTGTGGTCGCAGGTGCACGGAGAAAAAAAAAGGGGTCTCGACTCCTTGTAGCAAAAGTCATTGCCCATCTGCCCTGTCTCGTCATACTCCGCCCTTAGGGCATTGATGACTTCAGTGAACCATGCAGGGACTTGTGGACCGTGCTTTGGCGGGGGTTGGCTAGTCAAGAAAAGAGAAGCAAGAACCGCTCAGTCGAAGAGATCGAAAGTTGTTCGGGCTACCCTGCTCGATCCCGCTCCCCTTGACATGAGGCATGCCCAGACTGAGCAAGGTGTTTGCTGTGTCTTATTCTGAGTCAATTTTGAGTTGTTTCCATGATGTATGCTGGAGGCGATCCGGAAGGACGATGATTCATCGAACAACATGCTGGCGCAAGAGCAGCTTTTCTTCATAAAGTGTTTGAAGGCATGCAAACGCTGAGGGTGCTATATCATGCTACATCCCTGCGTAGCCTGTACGCTACTCAAGTGAACATGCGGGGCGGGACGTAGACAAGTTGAAGGGCCGACTGCAAAGCTGTCAGTGAGGCTGAGGAGATTGAGAAAAACCGTTTAGCACCCCCTAAAGAAACAGAGCCACCACGTGACGTGGGCCAAGGACGCCCGGCGGCAGCTAAGGCCCATTGCTCTAGTTGATTATCGACATCATCGAAGCAAAGAAGAGCAGGTTGAACTGGGCCGCACCAGGGAAAGGCGCCATTGTGAGGGTGGGAATGGGATGGAATGGATAGAAGATGATAGTTCATGATTGTCTATATTTGAGCTTCACCCCTCAGCCCAAGAAAGACACGTAGGAAAAAAACGAGGGACAGATAGGACGTCTCAAAACTGTCGGGGCTGCGATGCTTCTAATGTAGGCTTTTGATTACATAGCTTAAAAAAATATTGCGGGGGTTATTCATCAAGAGTCTAAATATTAGGATCAAACCATCGTTCACCTGGCTGCGTTTTGCGCCAATTCCTGGCCAGGCACTTCTTGGGCGGCGTCGGCGCGAGCAAAGGGGAGGACATTCGGCTACACGGCAGGCGAGGACGTGACCATGCGGCTAAGACATGACCAGCGAGAGGGCTAAGACCTGTTTTTGCGAGAACGCCCGACATGCCGACACGCAGTGCCAAGTCGATGGAATAGCAGGTGACACCCCAAGCAAAAAGACTCTGCGTCCGCCACCAGCGATTGGTGTCGGACTTTCAACATCTCTCAACCTTTTCCTATGGTGCTTTTACAAATGCACGAAAAGCTCCGACAGGTTGTTGCTTGATGGTCGTTACCACAAAGCACAAAAAAGCGCACACCACCAGCTCTGGGCCACCGACGAGCCATGCGTCTCCCCAACCTCCGCCTGGCTGCAAGGTGGATGGAATTGTCCACCCGGGCTGGTGAAGATACCGCCTTCCTGAAGTCGGTGTCACTCGGCGATTTGGAGAAGCAGAGACTGGAGACCGGTTCTCTCGTGTCACCCATGGGAAGCGAATAGGATTTTGATCTTCATCGTTTTTTCGAGCGAGGGAGGCAGACCAGTCAATCAGGTCTTTTGTTCGGTTTTTGGGGTGTTGCTCGGCGCCAATCTCGGCGCTGAATTGTGGCTGACACCGGTTTCCAAGAAAAACCGTTGGAGATGGGCTAATGATGTGTGCTAACAGCATCTAATAGCTGCTAATGTGCACCGAGAGTGCAAAGCTAAGCTGGAATCACAAGAAACTGGGTGCGCTGCAGGCTGGTGAAGAAAGACACCAAGCGCATCTCTGAATTCCATATGACCCTGGGCGGCAGAAAAGATCGAGATCCGCCCCAGGCGGACCCACTTTTGGCGGTTTTGTTGAGTCACTGGACATTGGACGCACCAGGTTGAATAAATTTAATGATTTGAAAGCTTCCTCGACGGACAGATGGGGAAGACAACTGGCTTGCGCTTGCGTCGAGC